GTGCAGTCGCACAAACATATCTGATGATGTGCACTCGGAGTGGGGGTCCCAGAAAAGGTTTGAAAGTAATCAGAATTACTGTTTTTCCCAGGACAGGAACGGAAATGAATGCAAGAGAAAAACACTGTAGGTCAACCAGCATCACAATGTTAATGATTCGGGTGTGACTCTTCACTAAACCATTAAGTTCTGGTGAGTGGCCCCATCTGGAACCCTACACCTTGATCTCGTTCAATGACTGAGAGACCTGCTGTGCATTTTCCAGTACTTTTTCTGCTTTACAACATAAGATTTCCAAAAATTCCCACAGGCTTTTATACTTCCTCAGAAGCGAGGGAGGAAAGCCGGAGAGATGCAGACAAAGTGAGTGGCACTGGGTAGGCAGGTAGAAAGGCAGAACTTGCACAGAGCAACTGTGGGAATTTCTGTGCCCTGAAATTATTTAATGAGAGGGAACCACTGTGGCACACACATGGGAGCAGTATATAGCCGAGCAGGTGTACAGTCTCCAGCCCTTGCTAACTGCGTTACTAGTGTGACACTGAAGCCAGATGACTCGCCTTGATAAAGCACCGACCGCTTCCACAACACTGAATTGACGGCTCTGAGAGCGAGACGGTTACAAATGATTTATATTTCCAGGAGGATCAATGGATCAGGATGACCATATTTTTCCACACGCCGTTTTAGATAGGTTTAATGTTTCACCTTCACCATTCAGCAGAAGCCATTAACTTCAGATTTACAGCATTCGTGAGTTTTCTTTTTTAAAAAAAAGAAAACTTTTTTCTTACCATTTAAGGAATACAACCAGGTTATCGTTGACACCAAAAGTTAGATGCTGAACAGTAGGCATTAGTAACAAGGCTGCAATTCAATGAATGGGTTCGGCAGGTTACCTCATAAAACCGAGTGCAAAGTTTAGCTATTTATTGGAGGGCTGTCCAACCCCTGAGATTAAACCATTGAACCCTTCACTCACTTTGTACTACAATGCTTCCTGGATAAGAGAAACAATAGTATTTGTAGTCAAACCTGGAGCTCAAATGAGACAGATTAAACCTGTGCAAGGTTTATTATGCTCTGGGCACTAAGGAATCCTGCAATCACATCATGGAGGTAGGGCACAGTGACACAATTACTCCACCATTCTACAGGTGTGAAGATTAGACACTTAAACTTAAGAGCAGGAATACAGGTAAAGGAGCCAACCATCCCTCTGAACCCCACCTCCTAATCATGATGCACACCACAGAATAGTGCAAGAAAGTGCCTGTCGGACACACGTGACTAGCTGCTGACACTTCCGCAGTGATGGCGATGATCGGGGGGGAAACTTGGTACAGCATGGATAGAACTATTCACTCGGGATTGATCACATGCTGAACATTAAAAGTTGTGTTATTTTTGCCAAGTTGTTTTTATTCATGAACACAACACAACCTTCAGTTACCAACATCCAGTTATGCAACACACAAATTCCAACATGAAGGCACAGTTCTAGAGCAGGGGATGGAGAGAGGGGAGAGAAAACAGCCAGTCTCAGCACGATGTGTGCAGTGGTACTATTATAACTGCCCGTCCTAAAGCATCAATCATGGAATCAGTCATTCCTTTCATGGCTGTTTGTGAGACACTGCTGTGCGCAAATTGGCTGCCACATTCGCCTACAAAATATAGTCACTACACTAAAAGCTATATCCCGTGAAGCTCTTTGAGACATCCACTCTATGTGAAAGGCGCATTATCAAAGTTAAGGATTGTTATTATGTTTAGTAGTTTGTACAGCCACAAGAAGCCAATAGAACCCCCAGTGTTGGGGGTGTCAGCGTAGACAATTTGAGTTCAAAGTCCTGACATGGGGCTTGAACCCAAAACCTTCCCAATGGCGCTGGTATACGTATTTCTTTTAAAAAGACTTCAAGTTAAAAGAGTACAAAAATCTTACAGCAATTTCACAAGGATGTTATATCATGGAATAGCAACATGGAGGTTGTGGAGCTGGTCAACATTTTCATGTTACAATACAAAGTTACATTTACAACAACAAATTACATTTAACAGCGCCTTTCATGTTGGGAAGACGTCCCAAAGTGTTAACACTACTGGCTGGGCACTCGAGCTGGGGGTGGAAGGGGAAAGATAACCGAAAGTGCTGTGAAAGAGATAGAGATGGTGTTCCAGAGTGGGGCCAGAAAGACTGAATGCCTGCCCACCGATGGTCAGGCTGGTGGTGGGGGGATATGAAGCAGGCCAGTGCCTGCTGAGCACAACTTCAAAAAAGGCAAAAAGACATTCCCAATTTTTAAGATAATCTGAAACCTTGAACCTGTTTGAGCAATTCACAAAGTACTCAAATATATATGATAGGAGGAACAGTAATACGATGAGAAATGTGTTGCTTTATCAATTTCTAATGGAGGCTTTTTTCAAGTAGTACGCAATCCTGGGCATTCAGACGTCAGAATATTTAGTCATTCACAGGAGAATTTGTTACACGTCTTCCCTCAGTTCCAGTTTCCTACTCATCCTCTCAGTTCAGTGCCCTCAGGCAAAATAGTGTATACTCAACAACAACAACAAATTACATATGTACAGCGCCTTTCACATCAGGAGGGATCACAAATACACACACACATATACACAAACACACACACACAATAGTATTCATGCACACACTATGTTCACACACATTACACACATACACAAACATACATATAATGCAGTGTTCACGCACATCCAAAATATTTTATTGGCCACGCTGCAGTAAGCACTTGCTGAATTTATTGTTGTTCGATTTAGAGGTCAGTCATCCATAGCACATATCTCAGTTTAGAGCCTTGGAGATATGCCCAGACAGAGCATCTTCTCGGCAAACGTTCAAAATCATTTCCCTCAAATATGCCTGAAGCTACTGCATCCCCCGGTTTAAATGCCACCTCACCCTCCTCTCATTCAGTGGTCATTTCTGTTAATAGAACAGAGAGGAATTGCTCCCCTCCCCCCAGTACACACCCACCCCACATGACAGCTCCTTAAAAACTCAAAGGTCCTGTCCTTTGGCCTTTTGCTCCAGAGTACCATCCCAGTGTTAAGCAGCAGTTCACAACAGCGGAAGAGACAGGAAGAGAGAACATTAACTCTGTGTCCATCTGATGATGTGCAGATGGTAAGACTCAGTTGCATTGGTGTGGGAGGAGATCTTAAGAGTAAGATAGCGGTGGACACAACTGCAATATTTTACAAATGTAGCCACCAGAAGTTACTCCTTAAATCAAAAGGAGTGAAGATTTAAATTGGTAGGGGGAAAAGTTCAAGATAAATCAGAAAGGTCATACATACTGCACTTCAATAAACCAGATTACAGTACATACTGAGTCACTGTACTACACCATATTACAGTATTTCCTGAGTTACTGTATTATACCACATTAGGAACATAGGAACAGGAGTAGGCCATTCAACCCGTCGAGCGTGTTCCGCTATTTAATTAGATCACGTTTGATCTATACCTTTACTAGAATTTCAAATCCAATTTCCCGCTTTCTCCCCGTATCCCTTAATATCCCGACCTACCAAAAATCTGTCAAATCTCTTTCTTGAAGGTGTGGATGGATCCAGCATCCACAACCTTTTGGGGGAGAGATTTCCAGATTTCTACCACCCTTTGAGTGAAAAAGTGCTTCCTAATTTCACTCTTAAATGGTCTGGTTCTAATTTTAAGACTATGCCCCCTTGTTTTGCATTCCCCCAACATAGGAAATAGTTGTTCTGTATCTACCCTATCAAATCTCTTTATCATCCTAAAAACCTATCAAATCAACCCCCAATCTTCTAAACTCGAGGCAATACAATCCAAGTTTACGCAGCGTTTCCTCGTACCTTAACCCTTTTTGGCCTGGTAACTCACCAAGTCACTGTACTACACCTTATGTATATGGTATTTACAAGTCACTGCAAGTATTGTACATGGATAGTATTTACTGATCCACTGTACTAATCTATTGCAGTATTTACTGAGTTCCATAAACTGAACTCAGATGTAACAATTCCACCTGAGGTTGGCCAACTCTATAAAGCCTCCAATCAAATGTGGTCTCTCTGGATTTGTGTGGCTTGGTTTCACACTGGGTTTACCAAATGAGCCATCGGGGCAGCTCATCAATTCAACACTTGATTAGCAAGCTTCATTTAGAAAGTAAAAATCTTTTCCTGTGCAAAATGGGCTGTGCCGGCTTGAATGCACAGTCCAAAAGCAGTCTCCTTTAGGTGAAAGGTTGCATTCTGTTACCAATACAAAATAGCCATTTTGTAATCAAAGGTCCAACATTTATCCTGATCTGAACCTTGAGCCCATTGTCTTAAAATATAAATAGCTTCTGCAGAAATTTGGATCTTAAAAGAAAATCACTTTCAATTTGAAAACTCGTTTCCCAGTTCTTAAAAAAAACTACGGAAAACCAGTTTCCTAATAAGGACTGAATCTCAGAATTTTCCAAAATTCTGCCAATCTTAAATGTCAAAAGAATAAGCATAAAACCAGATGCAATTCTGCGGCCTAAACTCACAACCAGTCTTCCTGGTTGTTATGTCAAATTGATTGGAAAGAATTTGAGAAATCTACTTGAACTCCTTTGTCACATGTGATGAATATTCGAGTCATTGGATAGTCTGTGACGGATGAAGGTCACCTTGGATTGAGGCTGGCCTTGCTGATGCTGGAGTCAAGCCTCTTTGATACAGTGCAGGTTACACGTGCAGGAAATAAAAAGCCTGCACACAATCCACAACTGTTTGTGGGATACTGCTGTCCACAATTGGTGGCCAAATGTCACCCGCAAAATATACAATCAATTCACTCTTCAGCACAGTATATTCTGTGAAGCGCTTTGAGACGTCTCAACGACGTGATAAGGCGCTACGTCAAACGCAAGCATTATTAATTCATTGCACAATTTAGGCAAAGCCATAACTAATGTGCTGAAGGTAAAAGAACTCACTCAAGAAAACGAATACTCAATCAATTTCTCCCTTCGAGACAAAGTCAGTCTTTTTCGGTCTCTTCCTTCTTCTTATTCATCATTGGTCACCTCATCCTCTCTTGCTACCTCCTTTATTAAGTACTTTGACTCAGAATGCAAAGGAAAAAGGCAAATGAAAGTCAGGAAAAGGCCTTTCCTCCGATGGCTTAGTAGTATAAGCCCTGACCAATACAGCAGCACTAAACCATACAGACCAGATGGCTGCAGGTTTCAGTCCAAGTCTGTACTTAGTTAGCTTATCTCAGCCGGGGCAGCAGATGGAAGTCTTACAATAGGCCTCAGCGTCTTGGGTCAGGGAGGGAAAGACCAGCCTCGGTTCCTGGTTGCTATCCATAGAACCCTTGTGGAAGATGTGTTATGTGTGAAGAGGTCAGGGAGGGGCTTGGCAGTGGTGCCTACTGATCTTGACAGCCAGGGCTCACATGTAACAATTGGCACTTGTGTGACCTATGGCATAACCTAATAAGGGAGCCGGGGGCAGGAGATTGGGGTTAGGATGAAGAGGGGAAACACCTTTAAGAAGAAGAGAAAAAAAAATCAGTAGAACGAACCAAACTCAGAGCAATACATTTTCCTAGTTATACTCTTTCTAATTCCAAGTGAAAAACAAAAATGCAAGACTCCCACAGTAACTGTACATAGCCAAATGTTTTAAATTTATCAGGGCACAAACCCTCAGCTAACAGGACTACTTCACTGACAACCAGTTTTGGTGTAACCTCAAGCAAGATCATGCACCATGCAACAGAGCACATTATCCCTCTGAGGAAAAAAAAGTTGCAAAAAGGAAACCCTTAATAATGTAATTGCTTTCAGTACGCCCTGCATAAAGTACAGATTCCACTTGTACGACAACAGAACTAGGACCATTTGGGATTCTGGGCACCATGGGCAAGCTTCAATGGGGGTAAATATCTTAAATAAACCCTCTATCAGTGACCTTATTCGCTTTTGCACAACAGCTCGTGTTGGGAGAAATTGTTTTGAAACTCAAGGTTTGCTAAGTGCAGTGCAACGGTTTTAGTAGAGCAATTCAGCCCAGGATGATCTGACTTTGGAAGCTGATCAGTCAACTAGTCATATTCATTAGCCAAAGCCTGTCAACCACAAGGCAAAGCTGAAATGTAGCTTAAAAAGTAGGACCCCCGAGTGCTGCCAGCACCCAGCGGGCTACCGAAGGAGAAGCACAGGGGGTTCAGTGTAGTCTCTGTCCTCCTCTGCACTCACCATTAACAATATCCAAGCTGTCACAAACATTTGTGAAAGCTGCTAAACCGTGACCTCAAGCTCAGCTGTCCGTTTTAAGACGAGGTGGATTATTTTACAGCCTCTGACTCAAGTGTGTACGGCTTGGTGCTACAAGAAGCAATGTTTGGCTCCCCCTTCCACCCACTCACCCCCCCCCCACCCCACACACTTCTCCTTGTAACTCCACTAAATGGTCACTGACAGCTGTCATCTTTTCCAAAAGGAGTACAAAATATACTCGTTAGCTAACCCCAATCTCCGTTCATAAATCATGTCAAAACACACAATTTAAGGGTATCCATAGAAGAAGCAAACGTCCGTCCCCCCCGCCCCCCACCCGGAACTCCAACACCCATGTGGCGAGCAAGCGAGAGAGGGAATGAATGCAGGTTTAGCTGCAGAAGTAGGAGGGAGGGAGGGAGAGAGGGAGGAGCAGATATAGCTGTGACGCTGCTGTCTTGGAGCAAGGCTACACTCTGGCAAGGATAGTGTGCTGTGAAACCCTATCCCCATGCTGCGCCAGGACCAGCTCATATCTTGCCTGTGGCAGCCAACACCACCCAGCTGTACCACAGACAAGGGCCTTGTATCAACAGACTATTTCACAGCACAACACAGAGGCACAGTGGAAGGTCTGTGAATCCAGGGGGGAAAAAAATGAAATAAGGGTCAGCTGTCAACATTAAATACATGTCAAAATTTAATCAAACGATTGGAAACATGTATTTTGTCTTCCCCTCTCCTCCCTTCAGCGTATCACTATCCGTGGCACTGATACAGGTTGGCCTCTCCATTTGGCCTCAGGGGGATGAGGCAGGGGGACAAGCACTCAGTAAATATAAAGATGTTTCAGGAAGTACTTAGAAGTTATTCAGCAAATATCTGCTTAATAAAAACGTAATAAAAACGTTCTTCCCTATCCCAAAATACAGACATTACAAAGAATGTAATATCCAATGATTCACAACAAGAGTCGCTAATAATGAATCTCGGCAGTAACTGAATGTGCATACAACCAACCCCAGAAAGTATGTGCTGACATACATGATCTGCTTCCGAGGAGAGTTTCTGCAGGTCAGCATGACATACTTCACATGCGTGCAAGCCCCCACATGCGCATATACACCCACACAGACATACACACAAAAGAGAGTCCTTTCCTGTCCTCATCTGAAAGCTAAAACCTCACACCTTCCAGTGGAGGGGGATCTCTGGATACCCTGGCCCATCTTCCCCTCTGTGACCAAAAGGAGTGCCTGACTACTGCTCAACACAGTCTGTAGTCTTCTGTTCTGTATGGCCTAGTGACCCCTGACCAGGAACCACATCCTAGTAGAGGGGGAAAAAAAGAGGAGTCAGTGTCTTCAGGAGAGGAGACAGGGAGAAAAAATAAACTGTACACATTTGTAGCTAATGTGTATTTCTTAGGTCAGACGACTTGGAGCTCATTCATCGCACTACAGGCGGAGTTCCTCCAAATCCCTCCCTCCCCTTGTTCGTGGAGTCCTGTAGCTCAGTGGTTAGAGCACTCGCTTTGCAAGTGAGAGACCTGAGTTCAATTCCAGGCAGAGGGCGAAACCTTGGGCAAGTTTCCTTACTCCACACAGAGCCTAATAATAATCCCTCCAAAAAAAAACAATAATAAATTGGTCATTTTCAATCTACGACTGTTTGTGGGACATTGCTGTGCGCAATTGGCTGCCGCGTTCGCCCACAAATATAGTCAATTCACTTTACAGCGTGTTCTGTGAAGCGCTTTGGGATGTCCTCCTGACGTGAAAAGCGCTATATCAAATGCAAGGATTATTATTAAGATGCACCTGTTTGATGGTGCTTTCAGTCATCTTTCCCCTCCCCAAAGCCTTCAGCTCACACCCACAGCTCATAGGTGCCCAGCCGGGATGGTTAAGTGGTTTCAGACATCCTTCTGATGTGAAGGTCCATATAGATGTAAATTTTATTGTCAACTAAAGGCATCACCTCAGATTAAAGGTAATATTTGTGTTTTCTGCTAATCCAGGATGAATGGATGTGGTGCACGAGATCACAGGCAGGGCCCACCACTACCAATCAAAAATAAGCACTGGCCCTTTAAGAATAGATTTATTTCATAAACGACTTCAAAATGAAGGAAGCAACTTTTTCTTCCACATTTCATTCATTCCTAACTCTGACCGACCAGTGATTTTTTTTCTCTGAACCAGCAGTTTGCAAACAAGAAGGTCAAGCAGTTTCCCAGACTGACCCTCGACCTCTGTCGGGTTGGAGCCCCTGTCAAGCACAATGCCAGTCAACGACCCCAACAAGAGGCATAGAAAGTAAACTGTAATAAACATAGGAATGAACTTTCCCTGAAGGCCCAGTGACATTTTTCAGTAAGCGAGTCAATACCTGAGCCATACAGACTAGAAAAATTGCAATTTCAAGGCTGTACTGAGTTACCCAGCTTCCTGCCAGAAACAATTTGACTGATCTCCCAGATTAGAGAGGGAACATCAGCGAGGGTTCTTGGTTCATCCTCGCTATACAGCAGTGCCTGGTGTAGCTACAGGAATTTGAACGATCAGTCCTGACTGAGATGGCTGCATCACTAAACTGTCAACTGAGAGGCTTGTTTTTGGTGAGCCGGATGTCTGACACACGTAGAAACCTATTACCACGCTTAAGACTATCCAAACCAAATGAATATTGCTAGAATTTAACCAGCATAGCTTGCCATTAAGAGGACTGTCCAACAAGCTTCCAACTGCTTGTTCAGCTAGGACTACCTTACATTAAGGCTTTGAGAGGGAGGAATCCCTGCCCCACTGAGGGAAGAATCCCTACTCCTGAGACATACTCTCGAATTCTGCTTGTGAATAATGACCATTTGGGACAGTGTCGGGCACACTTGGACCCAGCACAAGTAGAAACTGGAGTCAACGGATTCAGGCTTTGGAGGTGATAGGAGGTGATTAATATGAGCAGTGCAAAGAAATCTAAATTGTTTTGATAGAAAATTGAAAGGGACTCTGGTGAATGTATGACTTACGTAATTATATGACTATGACCATGAGTTTTTCTGTACAGTATTCAAACAAAGAGAATAAAAGGCAAAGTTGGTGCTTTTTGTAAGAACACATCTCAAGAGTTAATACAGAATGTGTCAAAACCACAGATCTGCTCACAATGTAAAGGATGAACCAATTTCATGATAAATTTGCACAACTCCCCCCTGCCAAATTGCCTGCCAACACTCAATCCAGGCTCATAGACAAACATTGGACTGGTCGAGGCACTGAAGGGCATCTGGGCTTCGTGGAACTCTATCTAAATAGTAGAAAAAATAAGTCAAGTGCCTTGAGAGGTCAGCAGCGAAGAAAATTGTCAAGAGAGAAAACTGAAGACATTTCTTCCAACATATGGCAATCCCAGGAATGAATGGACTGTTGTTGCGGGAGGGAGTTGCTGATATTACAGCGGGTCAGTTAACCTCGTTGCTTGACAGATGTTCAAAGTCTTAAGACAAATACCTGGCCACCAGATGTAACTGGATGGTAGCAATGACTTGGCATAATGAAAGCACAGAGCAATTAATAGGCAACGATGACTTCACATTCAATCCAGTTTGTTACACGACAAACATGATGTAACCCAGAAAGCGGAATTAGTACAAAACCCTAATCCAGGGCCACGGCTGCTCCTGAATGGCATGATGAACATCGCGGAGCTAGTTAACCCCCTCGGACAAAAGCAAGCACCCGCTAGTACCTAAACTCAGGAAGGAAGAGAGGAGCAGTTGGGTTTGATATAGCACATTGTGCTGAAACGTTTTGAAGCACTTCGAGGAATGATTTTCTTTGAAGTGCGATAACATATACAGGAATAAGGCCACAATGTTATAAGATGGGTGGGTGTGCTTGACTCTATTTGATGTTATGTTTAATTCTCATCCGCTCTTCAGGTCCTCAGATAAAAGCATGGACGAGGTCACATTCACACGTATGTTATATTTTCAGGCCAAAAGAAAAATTATGTTTCTAGCCAATAAAAAGACAATGCTCATATTTTCCCAGGGTGAAGGTAACACTGCACGCTTTGCTAGGCATTCTCAAAGTAAAACTGTTTCTATTTTCAAGAAAAGCACTGTGAAATCACAGAGTAATTGACATTAGCATCAACACAGCAACAGGAAGGAGTGGGCCATTCGAGCGATCAGTGGAGCCTGCTGATGTACAGCATTGGCAATTCTTTAAAT